TGGGATAGTCTACTGGCATGTAGAGTACTTTGAATACCAGTGAGTGGGTACAAGAACTACTAATCAGAAAGCTAAAAGGCATACCATGTGCTCCGCAAACGGTAAATATGGGAAATATGGGAAAAAAACCATTCGTAAATTTTCTGCCATAATCAAATGCGGAAGATAGCAAGTGTCGAAAATACTGTTTTCGCCGACTTAGCATTCCACTTTTTAGCTCAAAGTCCTAATAAAAGTCCTGAAGAACTGAAAATAAGGGGAAACGGGGAGAGAGAGGGTGACATTTTAATGGAGTAGGAACTGCTTTCAAACTGTGTATAACACTCGGTGAAAAAATTTGAAGAGAATTGTGTGCAATTAAACGTCAGAAAAAAATTAAATTAAGTAACAACCCGATAAAATGCCGCTTTTGTTGCGTTTGTTTAATAATGAAGAAAAAAGAGTTCATTCAAAACGCGACAATTTAAGCCTAGATTTCTATCGAACATAACGAACTGCTAGGAATTTTGCGTATGTGACTGTGGAAGGTTAATTTATTGGTAATTCTCGCAAATCATTCGGTCCGAAAAGGAGAACTATCAAGGGAAACATTGAAGGATGGTGCCCTAGTGTTTAATATGAACAACCTTGCGTAAATTGAGATAATTCTAAAACAACTCCCTTTCCCTCGTTCGTCCAATGGACAGTTTGTACATTTAGCATCTCTCCGCACTTGAAGGAAGCCATGCAAACCCTTGCATATTCTTAGAAGATACAATGAGTAACTAATGCCATCTGTAAAAATCAACGCAGAGCTAACCATATCGAAAACGAAAAAAAAAAACAAGAAGTGGTAATACGAGTTGAATTATGAGTGACTTCATTTCACGTTTAGCTGACGCGAGTCGTTCCTCTTCCTGTGACTGCACCATATAAATCAAATCGAATCGAATGATTTTTCAATCATTCGAATAAAACATTCAGAGAATAATTCGGAAGTTTGAATTTTCGAATCCACTTCCGAATAGTTTGAAAATCCAAATATTCGAGGACCATCGAATACTCGAGTATTCGGACCAACATATTCAAGCAGTCGAAAGTAGTATATGATATTATGTAGTAACAAAAATTTGGACGCAAATCCTTAATGTTGCAGTTGCCGTTATGGGACCAAGATTTGAGTCCTCATAACTCTTTTTTATTCCAATAAGCTGCATTTCAACAAAGCTAAAGTTGCTGCACTTTTGTTAGGTCCATTATTACTGAACTTGTGAAGACTCCCACCCACACATACACCATTGTTCATGGTGCCAAATTCACCGCGGCTATTATGGGCTAGCAAGGTTCACATTGAGGTTACCATATTAACGTTCACTAATCTAAAGACTACAAGGCATACAGATGTTCGGACATAGCCAGATATTCGGCCTACTCTAAGCACCTCTGGAAAATGGCTATCTCACGTGCCATACTTCGCAAAACCACTAAATCGATAGGTTTATGGTGGCATTGAGTGCCAACCTTGACGTGGACCTGACCGGAGACCTGTATCTGCTAATAGCTCAGGCGTTGATCTTTCTAATGAACTTTTCTAAGTAGAGAACCCAAGCTTTATACTATGATAAAATGAGCTTGAGGAAGTTGTGAACTACAGTAGTTGCAAAACGTGGTTCCAAAATAGATCGATGCTTCTCTACTGCTGAGCTATTACTTGGTGGACAAACAGATGAAGTGCGGCAATAGCGTTTCTAAAACATATTATTGATTAATGAATGCAAATTATATACGAAAGACAATTTTTTCCTGAAAAGAATTCGAATGTTCATTCCAAAGTTCAAACATTCGAGATTCCTGAACTTTGAATCGAGTATTAGGGAAATAATGATTTGCGAATATTTCGAAAATCCGACCACTCAAAAATCTCAATTTCCAAACTCGAAATTTTCATCGAATTATTCGAATATTCAATTATTCGAGATTTTTGTCTAGTTGCCGATATAACAGCACAACTAGATATAGGGGCAGAGCATTCTACTTTAATCATTAGAGCGTAAAGCGTATTTGCTAGACCAGCTCACCGCCAGATGGCAACGCGCCGGGTCAGCGTTGCGGTCTTTCAC